AATGGGTAAAACGTGGGTGGTACGTAAATTTAAGAGAGAAGATACGAATGAGAGAAAATAGGTTAAGGGAGATAAAATAGGAAAGTCAGTTGTTTATCTTTTTTTTTAGTCTATTTAAAAAGACGTTTCCCTTTATTGTAGATTATTTTGGGGTGGATTCCCTTACAAACATTGAGGTATGATATATTCTCTCAACCTTTTTTTTATTGTTATTTTTTTGGTGTTATTTTTCCCTGCATCAATTTGCATCAATTGGTATTAGAGCAAGTTAGGTCCAGAGTTTACAATGCCACCAAAAGTGAATCAAGTGAATCTTGATCCGACTATGAATGATCGTTGGGGAAAAATTTTGACTAAAGCCTTAGATGATTTTCGAACTGAAGTACGTGAGATGAATCAGGAGATGGATCAGAGGATGCAACGCTTAGTGCTCGCAGCCATATTCATCTTCTGCCAGTAATTCCATGACAAACCCATAATGTTGATTTCCACGACAAACCCATAATGTTAATTTTAGTACGCTTGAAATCTCTCAAAATTTCATAGTCAAGAGTGTTCATCAATTGAATATGGTGCTTCTTACACAGTTGTAGGCAAAGAGTCTTACATTAGTATTGAAGATATTGAAGAAGAATTAGCCTTGAAGAAATTGAAGAAAAGGTGTCGAGACGCAGGGTGGGATCACATCACCAACTAGCAGATGGTGAGCTCGATGTCGAGTTCTTCCAACTTCGGAAGAATGATGCAAAGAAAAAAAATATTAATTTTTATTATTATTAGGATTTTTTAGTTTATCTTTTAACTCAAGAGTAGGAGGTGCGCAGGCATAGGTGGGTATGACTTGTGCATGAATTGATGTTGATTAGTTAGTTTAGAAATGAAATTAGGATAAGGTTAAATATGGTTAGTTTAGAAGTATAAATAAGATAAGGTTAGATCTAGGGGTTTATCTTTTCAACAATAGCTTTGGGTAAAACGTGGGGGTTTATCTTTTCAAAAATGGGTAAAACGTGGGTGGCACGTGAATTTAAGATAGAGAAGATATGAATGACAGAAAATGGGTTAAGTGAGAAAAATAGGAAAGTCCGTTGTTTATCTTCTTTTCTTCTTTTTAGTCAAAGAGACGTTTCCCTTCATTGTAAATTAGTAAACGAGTTAATAAAATTTGGTCTAGAGATTATTTTGGGGTGGATTCTTTTGCAGACATTGAGAGAGGGTATATTCTCTCAACCTTTCTTTTTTTTTATTGTTATTTTTCTAGTTTTATTTTCTCCATGCATCAATTGGTATTAGATCAATGGTTGGATCAAAAGTTGCAGGCAAAGAGTCTTATATTAGTCTTGAAGACATTGAAGAAAAAATTAGCCTTGAAGAAATTGAAAAAAATGTGTCAAGAAACAGGGAGGGATTACATTGAAGAAAAAATTAGCCTTGAAGAAATTGAAGAAAATGTGTCGAGACACAAGGTGGGATTACATCACCAATTAGCAGTGGTGATTGGCTTCAAGCTCGAGGTCGAGCTTCTCCCAACCCAGGGAGAATGATGTAGAGAAAAAGAATTTATTAATTTTTATTATTATTAGGATTTTTTAGTTTATCTTTTAACTCAAGAGTAGGAGGTGCGCATGCATAAGTGGGCATGAGTTGTGCGTGAATTGATGTTGAACAGTTAGTTTAGAAATATAATTTGGCCCGTTCTGATCGAACCGGCCAGTTAGCGGTTAGATCGGCCGGTTTTGCAAACACTGTTTCAAATGTTGAGTTTTGAAATGATAACCAATTTTGAAACCATTTGTTCAGAGAGGGAGAACGATCTAAGTATAATTCTGTGCGAGAGAGATCTAATGGAGTTTTGTGTAAAATAGAGAATATAAAGAAAAAAAAAGGTAGTAAAAAGTTTATATAAGATAGTAACACTGTTTGCAAAACCGGCCGGTTAGAATTGGAACCGGCCGATTATATCGGAATCGCTAGGGTTCCAACTTCAGTTAGGACCAGTTTTCGGGTACCAATACCTAGACTTATCTCTCAAAAAAAAATCGAGTCCAAAACCGGGCGATTTAAAGTTGAACCGGTGGTATTTATGTTTAACTGGCCGGTTTTGATCTAACCGGACCAATTTTATGGTAATCGGGGTTTTTTTGGAAAAAATGGGCAAAATGAAAAACGGCCGTTTTTTGTAACCGAGCCCGTTATTTGGAGCAACTCAAAATTTCTTGTTTTTTTTTATTCGATTTCCTTGCCTTTTTTGGCGTTTTTGGCGATTTAGTGTTGTAAACCATTATTTATTGTCTATAAAACAACAAAATTAGGAATCAAAGATTAAAAAAAACAGTGGTTCTTGTATATTGAAGTGCGGAATTTATAACCTTTGGAAATTTCCGCTATTCAATCAATTTCGTCTTCAACAAGTAACGATTATTGATTAAATTTGAAGCTTTTGAATCATAAACAAATTTTTTACCATATCCCTGTTTCAATTTGTTCAAAAAACAAGCTATAGGGGGTAGATTTTGGCCCGAAACTTTGCTCAAAGGACCTGTGTTGAAGCTTCTTGAAGAACCTTATTCGATCCGCCATTTCGTTAATTCCATCTTTAATAGGTAACGATTATTAATGAAACTTGAGGGTTTTGAATCATACTCGAATTAGTTATCATATCTATGTTTCAATTTTTTCAATAAACAAGATATAGGTAGTTGATTTTGGCCCGAAAACTTGCTCGAAGAGCTTGTTCAAGCTGCTCGAAAAATCCTAATTCGATCCGCCATTTCGTTAATTTCCTCTTTAATAGGTAAATATTATTAATGACATTTGAGGGTTTTGAATCATAATCGAATTGATTACAATGTCCATGTTTTAATTTATTAAAAAAAAAGATATTTGGGGTTGATTTTGGCCTCAAATTTTGCTGCTCGAAGAACTTGTCTTCGATCCAAAATGCAGATTTTTTTATCAATTTACTCGTTTTTTTATGAAATTGATTCATGGAGTTGATTATCCAGGCTTCATTTATCAGATAAAATAGGTTTGTTGATTTATAATTGAGAAAAGCTTTTTATACAAATTTATTTCTTGCTTGATGTCATGAAAATTTTATAGGTCTAAATTTTCTATGATTTTTTTAAAATTAAATAGAAAATAGAAAATATTATTTTATTGGATTTAGTGCTTTTAAAAGATGATGGAAGCCATTACAAAGCTGTTGTATTGATTTGTTCGATTTTCCGAACATTGAAGGTCATTTTTGCTCGTAATGTTGCTATATCTTAGGGGTTTTTTGAGAAACCGATTTTTTTTAACAAAATTTATTTTACTTTATATTATTAAGTCAATAAAATTATTTTTTATGATGAATATGGAAAGTGTTTTTCTATTTTGCTTATTAAAATCATATTTTTTGATAAATTATGTTTTTATGATAAAAATATATTTTTTGATGAATATGATAAAAATCGATTCTTTTTTTTTAAATGTTAGATTTCTTTTTCTTAAAAACAAAAAAATAAGTGCATGATAACGTTAGCCTTACTTTTGCTTCATTTTTTTTTTTAAGTGCATGATATAATTATATTTGTAATAATGGAAATGGAATTATAATTGTAATTGTTGTAATAATGGAACTGGGATTGTAATTGTGTAACGGAAATGCGATTATAATTGTGTTGGCAGAGGCATCCACAATTTCAAACTTTTTTGTCATAAAAAAAAGTTGATCTTGCTTTTAAATACCTGTCTTGGATTTTGGAATTACTTAGGACCAATAATGCTCAGTTCCTTCTACTATTTTCTTGTTAGTAGGCGTTTTTATTTGGTTTAATAGCATCAAGCTACTTTTGTTATTTGTAAAAAAGTGCATAAACGTTCATTCCTAATGTGAGCGATTTTTGTAAAAAAAGAAGAGGAAAGTTTTTCATGTAAGGTTTGGGATGAATATATTAATTCTTGAAAGAAGATGTTGCATGATAAAAATATCTTCAAAGAATATCCTAATTTAGGAAGACGTGCTTGAGATCATGAACAAGACCATAATATTCAAATATTAACTTATAAAAAAAAATTCAATTTTTTTTGTAAGATAAAAGTACGTAATTAAATATTATACGCTTAAACTAAGTTTTTTTTTTTTAAAAAAAATCTATTTGATCGGTTAGTCTGGTGAATCGTCCTAGTTAGTCCGGTTCCGGTTCAAACCGCTCCCAGCTCCATGTCCAGTTAGCCATTCCAATTCAATTTTGTGAACCGTGGATTGTAATCTGGACTTTTGTGCAAAATAGATATTATAAGATAGTAAAGCTTCACCTCAAATCCTCGTCCAGAAAGCATTTTTAGCAAAGAAAATCTAATGGCTTTAAAATTAATTTTCAATATTAACAATAAAATTTGAAACTAAAAAAATGGTATAGATCTTGTTGATATGTAAGTACTTATATTTTAGGGCGAATTGGATGGTCTAGATAATTTGTTATAATATACATTATTTTTATAGCTTAAAATCTTCTCTTTTTTTTTTTTTTAAGAACGATAATGTTCTAGTGGAGATGATTGATGTAAAGAATTTTCAACGATTGAATTGTAATTTCAGCCATTCTCCTTGTTTTAAACACTAAACTCGTTTACCCTAATATATTTGTTTGAGACAGAGCAGGAACACTTGCCCAAGATGGTATAGAGAAAGAGGAAAGAGAGCTACAGAGAAAGAGGAAAGAGAGAAAATCCGATGCCATATCACCAAAATTTATGCCCTTTTACGTATAGTGAAAGAGTAGGAAAGGCGAAGTTTTGCTGTTTAAATCATAGTTTTTTCATCGAAATATCATACCTGTATTTTTGTTATTAAAGAACAAATTTTTAGAGATTTTTTTCGTAATTAAAGAGAAGATTATTCATGATATTAAGGCTTGAGAAATACAGAACCATGAACGATGTAAACTGAGAGCTAATCTATTAATAGTTGATTGAAATATCGCAGGTCCAGAAAGAGGAAGGGATACGAAAGAATGGCAATCAAAATAAAGGTTAAGGATATTAAAGTTCATAACTCGTCCAACTATGTCAAAAGAAGAAATGGTTTACAAAAGAAATTACACGAACTCTCAGTGCTGTGTGGAATTGATGCTTGCATCATATGTTTCTCAGACGCCTCATCTTCCTGTGTTTTGGATATTTCGCCTCATGACACAAATTACTGTCTCTCGCTCTGTGAAAGATATCTCGGTCTCGACAAATCCGAGAGAGAAAAGAAACGCCAGGATTGTTCTCACTTCTTGTGGGAGAAAATACATAGTTTAAAGCAACAGATTGAAAAAAAGAGGGAGGAAAACATGGAGGCTAAATTGGAAGCGATGGTTTATGGATTCTCTGGCCATCACAGAAATGACGAATTATCTATCGATGACATTCAGAAGCAGCTCTCTGGTCATATCGATGTCTAACTGCACAAAATCAGAGAACGTGATCAGTTTTTAGAGATGGGGAAACAGTGTGTGCCAGAAGAGATATTGAAGGTTGAGAATGGGGGTATATCCAAAACATGAGGCTAGTTTAGGCCAGTTTATCGACGCTTTTCCGGGGACTCCATGACACTTTTCCAGCAACTCTTAGGTGTTTTTCCGGCTACTTTTCCGGCCATGTCAGTCTGATCTAGGCGATTTATTAGCGAGGTATGGCCTGTATCTGGCGCCCACGTGCGAGGGCTTTGCAGGCTCGTGGCAGGTTTCTGTACTCCCATATCAACAGATGAGTCAGCATGTGGTCGAGGGTAGGTGGGGCCCACAGTTGCCTGCTCAGCAGATTGGTTGCCTCTGAAGCCACATCAGCAGGTGACTCAGCTGCCATGTAACATGCCACGTCAACAATACTGGGAACCAGAGTTCCAGCAAGTCGCTGGCCCTCAGAGGTGGGTCCAGGATTGGAGCTCGCCTTTGGGTAATTGACACATCATCATTCCAGTTAGTCCACCTGTGTTAGAAGGTGCCACGTTGGCAAGCCAAGTTTTGGGTTAGTCATGGCTTGCGTTTTTGAAGGGCTCCTTGTTAACGGTGCCTAACTGTCTGTGTTTCATTTAACCAATTTTCTGTTCTAATCGGTTTATTTATTAGCGATTGAGGAATGACACGATTGTAGACAGATCAGCGGCCGTGATTTATTCGTTGTGTAATTTTGTCTCTCATTTTCAATGGGACCTCCTGTTTATCCCACTTTTCTAAGAGTTAATGGAGTTCTGTAATCTCTCTCTCTCTCTCTACTGTAATTGCATAAGTTATATGTATACTTTTGAATGCATAATTCCAATTGAAACAGTAATTGCATAAGTTTCCTTTTATTGCTAAGAATATGAAACCTTAAAAGCAGTGGTGGCAAAGTTGGCCGGTCCAACTCGGACCCAGCTGGTCAAATGTGAACCCAGCCAAAAATTAAGAAATTTGTTTGTAATGTGTTTTTAAATGTTTTTTTTATCATTTTGGCAAAGATACACAAGACTTCAAATCCATTTTTTCTCTTGGTTATACATCTTGAGAACAATTTGAAGATTTTTTGGCATCAAAATTACCTTTTCTATTGATTTGTGAGGTGCGCTTTAATTTGATTATTTAAGCTCATCCTTAATATAAACTTTTCCCATTATAGAATAAACATTTCTGATTAGTTCTTCTTCTTTTCATAGGCATTGTAATTAAACCTGCAACATAAGATGACATCATTTACTCCAAACTACAAGTTCCATAGTCATCTACATACAAAAAGCCAAAGGCGTTCTACATTAAAGCTCCTAATCTCATTAGAGTAATGGAAACAAGCCTGGTCAGAAAGGCAAAGACAAACTTCTTGAGGTATAATAGCCAAATTAAGTTTATGAAGATGGTGCACTCTACTCTAGACCCTAAATACAAGGTTAAAACAATAAGGAATCTCATCGTTGTACAGACCAACCATAGATCTCATCTCTAAATGTTATTTCCCATCCATGTGTGACATCCATAAAAGAGAAACGCAGTCCACAAAAGTAAGAGATGGTGCATCTCCAGCCTGCAAAACAGCACCCACTAAAAGGATCAAGCTAACCACAATAGAGAGAGAGAGAGAGAGAGGAGAGCAGCATGACAAAAGAGCAACCACTACTAGAAACAGGCTCCTTAACTAACAAGTGCGACTAAGATAGAGAG